ACTCCCAGAGGTTTTCGTTATTACACGTGATTTCTGTGGATGTGTTCATCTAAAGGCTGCTACACATAGTTCCGGCGGCAGGGCCGCCGGCTAAGCTTCCGTGCACCCGGCGGCATACAAAGCCGCCGGCCTTGCCGCGCAAAGGAGCCGCCGGCATTGCCGCCGGGTTACGCGGCTTGCCGGCGTCACTTCGTTCCTGGCATTCGAGAGGTAGTGTTGTGCGGTTTGTGTGTTGCACTTCACTAGCGTTCTATGTGACTGTCACAACCGGAATGATGCTTGGCGGCTTTGCGCGGCTTGTATTGCCGACGGCATTGCCGCTCGGCATAAACCCGGCGGCATTGCCGCCGGCTTGTGTGTAGTAGCTTTAAGGAGTGATATCATCTCATCGCATAAGCTAAAGAGAAAATTGCTAAAGATGAAGGACTGTTAGCTTTTGTCATCTGGAAATACACGAATAAGGTGAAGTAGGCTAAGTACCTCCATGTCTGGAACATTTTGTCCATACAAAAGCACCGAGTACAAACTAAGTGTTTACCCTACACTTGCCGACTATTGTCATTCCAACAAACTGCCATAAATGCCGGCATATGAAGCGGTACATGTTATAACGAAAACGGATCCCTAGTGTCATAAGAGACGTCGGAGGAGACACATTCTGGATCTTAAACCTTTAACATCGTCAATGCCACGTGGCGTGGGAAGCATAAGATGCCCTTAATTGGCTCAAAGCGCTTGAGTAGCGCCACTGTATTCGTGATAGCCGGGTTGCAAATCACCCGTAATGTTCACGCCAGATAGCGTAGACAGCCGGAGTGATTAACAGGCGTGCCAGCCCAAGAAAATAACCGGCCAGGATAACGAGCTGCTAGAGAGTCAGTAGTTGCTGCTGCAGTAGTTTCCATTTGCTGCTAAAACTCTGAGAGGATGCACCAAATCAGTATAATATGTACACAATGTTTCAAGAGCCCATCCTCATCAAAGCATCATGACGACTTCGCCAGTAACCGTAGCCCAATTACTATCGCCACAGCGAGAGAATACAAGGCAGATACTGTAGATGAAATACTTGGGCTGTACCTTGGAATATATTACTTAATGTACGAAAAGCGTTCCATACGTAACATATCCTCGTAAAGTTATTGCATAATTTATTGTTTTAATCAATAGCTATGAGCTATTGGAGAATTGTAGTTATGAGCATGCAGAAACTTTCAAAACAGCTTCACGTGTGGTAAATGGTACCTGAATGTTCAATGCGAATCGAATGTGCAAGTGGAAATCATCTCTTTAGGCCAAAGATGTGACAGAAGCGAATATTTCACAGATATCAACAGGTTGCAAGCAGCACATGTTGCCATTTCCCGCATTCTCTCACTCGGCCAAAAATACAATATTCCCATTTACATGTATGAAGTCAGTCGTGTGACCACGTCCACAAATCGCAGCCAGTTGTGTTAGGTTACATGATTCAATGGAATATTTGGTTTGCCTACGGTTGCTGAGGACGATCCATGGCGCCTCGGGGAGGGAGGACCCAAAATCTGTACATAATTGCTACTGAACGGTATGAGTAGTAGTCTACTCAAGAAAGCGTTATCTACACGGATGGTCTGCTCAATTCAAAAGTTTGCTTCCTACTAAGAAAGGATAAAGGTTGCTTTGAGATCAACTAAGCCTAAAATAATCTTCTGGGTCTTGCAGGGTAAGGTTTGAACTTTAATTGGGGGTCTGAAAGATGAATGGCAAAATGTTTTCTCGAATTTTAGTTTGCATCCATCCAATAGTTATGTTTTTTCGCTCAGAACATTTTCTTCCAAGTCGTATGGCTAATTTTGAACAAAAAAATTCCGAAGTAACTTCTTCCTAAGTTGACCGTTTTAGAGTTTTAAGCTATTCAATGTCAGAAAAGCCCTAAAGATGAGCAGACTCAATGAATCAAAGCTCGGTTAAGAATCATTACTTTTGAGGTTACTAACTGTCTAAATTAAAGGTCAAACCTACCCCTACAAGACTCCGGATAGTATCTTAGGCTTAGTTTATTTTAAAGCAATTTTCAACTTTCCTTGCTAACAAGAAGCGAACTTTTGATTTTCGCAGAATGTACGTCCCTAGAACTATGTGGTACGCATCGGGCTGGGGTCATTTGCAATCTAAAGGCGGGTTTACACGCTACGTCTTATTGTACGTTTTGTGGGACAGTACAAATCCTATCCAATAAAACGTGGCGTGTAAACAGCAAAACGTACGTCTTGTCAAATCGAAATGAAATCCAAGGTCAGATTGAATAACTTATGGGAGAAGCATAATTTTGCGAGGACTGATATGATAAAATTAAACGTGTAGACTCATGTTCAGACAAAACGTCCGATCTTGGCTCAGTTCACGAGTTCCTCCACTTCAGTTCGCTTCCTTTTTCCCCCAAAAAACTTAATAATGTCAGACGTGCGGCAATGCACCCACGGTTTTCTCGGGGAAATCATTGAAATGTATAAATGTTTTCCGTGTTTATGGCAAAGCGAAAAATACAGGCTTTAGTGACCTTAAAACAAACGTCGCGTATGAGGATCTTCTAATAAAATACAAATAAATAGACCCGTTCGCAAACAAAGAGACTGTTAGAAAAAAAATACACTCGTTAAGATCGGTTTACAAGAAGTGTTGAAAAAAGTGAGGGCATCAGAAATCTCTGTTACTAACTTTAGCAATTAACAATAGGCTGAGGTCTACATTAGCAAATAATTGCACCAGTCATCAAGTGCGCTCCTCAGTTGTTTCAATAGCGAGACGTGGGAATAATGGCTTCTTTTCAGAAGCCACTCCCTTGGCCATCTTGTATTTTCCGTCTTCATCCATTTTCCTTCCAGTCGTTGTAACCTTATGGTTGAAAAAATAAAAGAAAGCAGTCGTGTTTCCTCCATAATAAAAAATGTCTCTCAAAAAAATTGACTAAACAAGAAAGCTGAAGGGAAAACACGTACGTTTTGTTGTATGTTTTGTATGCGCGACAAAACGTACAATAAGACGTAGCCTGTAAACCCGCCTTTATATTCAGTGTAGCATTTGGATTTTCCTCTATGCAGGTACTTTTCCAATATAAGTTGGCACATTTTGTGATAATGGAAAACGTACTTCACAGACAGCAAATGGCGGTGACGGCACATCCACAGATCAGTTTATTGGTATGACGGCATTCTTTTCGGATTTCTGATCGTGCAGTGTAGAACAGTGAACGCACATGTCTTTAATAACATGCGTTTAGTCCGTCGCGGACCTGCGGACACGTGACCGCACCTTAAGCAACGTTCTGAACTATATTAATACTTACCTAAAACTTCCACAATGAGCAGACTTCGTTTAGCATGTACAATAACAGTTACAGAAGATCCCTATTTCTAATACGATGAAAACATCTCAAACGAAGAGTTAGATGGGACTCGAACAATTATTTGAATGGTTATTTTTTGTTCATACGAGGGGCAGTAACTTGCAGATGGCTTTGACACCCCCGGGAAATAATGTAGGTAGCCACCCCCGGATATCGAGCAATCCAGAAATGTTTGATACATGGGACGATATAGAAGTGATTGAAGCCATTGAACGAATTTTCCTCTAACAATTTACCGTGTTGAGAGTAGTCAAGGCCGACTGGTGGATTAATGGATATAGTGTGGTGAAATTAGATTAGCAGGTCTTATTGACATATATACCTCGAACGGGAGTAATCGATATCTTTGGATGGATTGAAGAATACATACCTACTGGTGAAATCAACTACGCAAGTTCATCTGGCGAATAGCTTGAGCGAGACTAATCGATGTCGGGCGGATTAAGGGAAATAGTCTGGTGAAATTATTTCGCAGGTGGATAAGGTCAGTTTGCAGGTAGATAAATCTAATCCACATTTTCGCAGATGACAGCTGTTTGCTAGGCGTTTCTTTGCGATTGAGCAGCAGTGGGAGCGACGCTACGGATTCCACAGAGCAACACAGACAATCAGAGAATGAGGCAGTTTGCATTTGTTGCTGCCACAGGGTGACTACTCCTATGAATGAATTTTTCTCCACCGGCAACGCCTAGGATGAGGGACTAATTTCGTTTTGGACCATTTTCTTTGCTCAAGATTGTTGGAATCTGCCAATTTCATAAAATAAAATCCCTTATGTTCTGTTCAGAATATTACGGGTGAAAAAATGGAGTCTTTGTTTTCCCTATAAAAACTGACGCTGCAAGTCAGTTGGCGACACACGATTCACAGATTTCATTGTCTACCTGGAGCAAGTTTGCAAAGTTCAGTGAACCTCGTTTTGTATAGAGTGGAGAATCTTTGTTTCTTGACGAAAGAAGATACGTCGTATTAGTGTCTAATAAACTATTTCAGGCAAATCATCTTATTTCTTGACAAGGGGGATCTTGCCACTCTCACTGCCACCGGAATTGCTTGACTTGAGGGATACGATAAGAATATGAAGCCCAAGCCACAACCTACAATCCCTCCAAGATTCCTTAGCCTAGTTATATTTTATGAGGCGTGTGATAGTAAAGTTCTGAAACGCCATTTATTAAATAGCTTCTGAAACAAAAAAATAATCATTTTGGTTGATACGTTGAATATTATCAATTAAATTATATTAACCAAAATGATCTTGTTTCTTGTAAAAAATTGAAGATATGTGTGCCTGCTCTTAGCCTATTTAAATTTCGTATGGCTTGTGAGAGCGCCATACGCTAGATAATAGAACAACTAGAATTATTCACTCTTACAAAATACGATGTTTTAATTGGAAGCCAAAAGAATATAGACTGGTGAAATTAACTTCGCAAGCTTATTTGGAAAATAATTCGAATGTTGGATAGATCAAATGATATATTCTGATCGAATTAACTTCGCGCATCCTGAAGAAGCAAGATTATCACTGGTTCTGCAGTCACAAGAAAATCGGAAGATGAACACTGGGGTACTGAAAAACGTATTAATTTTTATAACATATATTTATTTGAGCTTTCATTGCGATCAAATACAACAAAATATTAAATAAAGTTAATTTTAAAAACATAATAAAAGAGCTCGCCAAGAATATCAGCTAGTTGCGTATACATTTTTTGTATTATTCAGTATATTATAATTATCGATAAATATTTATTTAAAAACTTTCTTGGAAGATATTTACGACATACGTATACTTAGTTCAATTCGGTCATATCAGAACCGTCATTGCATCATTTGTTTGTCTGGAACTCAGGAAAGGAAAAATAATGTTTCTTTTTATACGACTACAATTTGAATACTTTCCAAAAACTTACGGTTTTCAACCAACAACTATTTTGTTTTTACACCTAATCGATTAGGGTGGTTGAAAAATTTATTAGTATGGTTCCATTGAACCATTCGTACCCTTTCAATATTTAGTACGTATTAGAATCTTTGGGTGAATGACTTATGCAATTCGAGTAGGTAGATGCATATATGAAAACAAAAAACACAAATTACATAAAAAATCGTGTTGTAAATATATCAAAACAAATGTCTGTATAGGTCCATGTAATATTTGTTTCCAACTTTCTGATTCTTAGAAGACTAGATATTTTATGTTAAATCTCTTGCATACAACTTGTATATGAAATTACGACAAATGCGATGTAAAAAATTACATAAATTGTAAAGTCGCACACCCTTCAATTTTTCAACAAGGTCGCGAATCGTTCAATAGAGCCCTATTGGTATTCACATCCCTAATGAGAGAGAGAAAAAATATTACAATTCTTACAATACTGACTTATACCGTAGATTCTATGTACATTGTGACATAAAATTCGTATAACAATCATAATCACGCAGGATGAGGAGATTCATTTGTTTTAGTGTTTTTCATTTTTGCTCCGTTTCAGAATCCGCAATGAACTGCACTAAATAGGCCAGTCGTCAAGTTCAAAATCAGAAATTATGGACATCAGGTCTATCATAGGAATTGAGAGAGATTTTGGAAAGTGTAGACAACATACTGATCTTGTGAGTGTCAAATACCTGGGTTATTAATGTTCCAATCAGGTAATTAAAAATACCTACAGGACAAATGTCCGTCAACAAATTCAAAGCACTCTTATAATTACAAAAACGTACGCAGTTTATCAACTTTTCACTGTTTTTGGCAAGTGACAGTCGAACTACACGAATCACTCTTATATCGGTCTCCCTCACGCATACATATGCGTAGAAGTTTGTTTTCCTAAACTCACAGGCATACGTTTTTGTCTCGTCACCATAAAAAGTTTCTCGTCAACGTGTGAGTCGTCCACATTCATGTTTGCCACTGTCAATATGACAACTTGCTTGTCATGGACATGTGATTGATTTTTACCCATTTCGTGGCGTCGACAGTCTGCCGAAGAAGTATGTTCAGAAATTGAGTGAAAACAACGATTTTATATGACCCATTTCATCACTGCGTGCAAGAGCCAGTGACAGCTGTGTTACGGATCGGTTTGTCCAGTCTGAAATTAAGGTACGCATATGATACTTTTAGTTAATCTGTTTTCCTATTTCGTATGGCAAGTGATGTAACTGCCAAAAGCCGTGAAAAGAACTATACAGGGTCCCAGAAATAACACGCTAGAGTGTCACGGGAGGTAGACTGACTTCGGATCAATCGGATGAAATCAACATGACCTTAGTTAAAAGTTTTCTAGTTTTCGAGATATTGCCACTTTTAGGTTTTTTCAAAAAATCACTGTACCAGACTGAATCGGCAAATGATCTTAAAAACTAGCCTATTTAATGCTCTTTCAGTGTAGTATAACTTTTGTAGTTCCTTTCTACTAAAAATTGGATAATTCCAAGTTTTGTAACGAATTTTATTTGTAGTATTTCGCAATACTACAAATAAAAAATAAGTGCGTCAGTCTTTTGTATCCAAATCACTAACGAGTGAAACGACAGCCAAGGAGCTAAATAACACCTGTGTAGCACTAACACAAGGAGCAGTATTAAATTAACCTTGCGCATGCGGTGAGCAGGTACCAACTCTGTTCCTTGAGGTGACATAATGCTGAAGACCGAACAATGAATGTGTCAGCGAGATAGTCAATTACATGTTTAGGTCGTTTCATTACTTAGTGATTTGGATACAAAAGACGGCTGCGCTTATTTTTTATTTAAAGTATTTTCTAAGTATTACGACTTCAATGACAAAACTTGGGATCATTCAATTTTTAGTAGAAAGAACCTACAAATGTTATACTATATTTAAAAGAACTTTAAATAGGCTAGTTTTTAAAATCATTTGCCGATTCAGTCTGGTACATTTTTTTCACGGTAAAGGTTTTCTCATTGAAACAAAATATATTAATTTTTTTAGCATACCATGCTAGTTTTCAATGAAATGAATACTTGACTCGGCTGTCTCAACCAACTATTAATGGTAGCCCAGCAAAGTTTTTTAATAGCCATAACAGGCAAAAAAGGAGCAAACAGTAGTGATTTTTTGAAAAATAATAACTGGAAAACTAGAAAACTTTTACTAAGGTCATGTTAATTTTATCTGATTGATTTGAAGCCAATATACCTCCCCTGTCACTCTGGCCTGTTATTAATGGTATACGTCATTTTGACAGAACTGCATATTCCACAGTTGGTTGGCTTTCTTATCGCAGTATATTATCTCCACCATCAAAAATCTACTTTCGGACATGTCACTTCAAAAATCTTGCCACATGATGTTGAGTTTTTTTTTGTTGTATCCCTGACGACTGACACCCTAAACAACTATGTTCTTTATTACTATTGGTTGTAATTACGATATGATAACATCACAAGACGTCGCTCACAGCGACCGAGTCTTCTAAGACTATATTTTACAAAATAGGAATGTTTCTTCATGTGTAATTTTACATAAATGAACACTATGTACATGCGATTTGCTGGTCGGTAGACGGATAGAATGCAGTCTGATAAAATTAAAAAAATATATCAGGATTAAAATTATAAAAGCTAAAGAAGCTTTATCGTTCAGATTTGATTCGTGCATTTGGTGTTACAGTCGATGACAGACTGTTACAGTTTCTTTTTATGGTTGACTAAAAATTAACTACATCTTGATAAAGTAAATTATTAGAACATTTTTCTTATTTAGAATAATAATTTGATAGCCGTTCTTAAAAATATCAAATTTTATTTTTAGTAATACAATAATTTTGAGGAAGGAAGTCGTACTCTACTCTCCATCTCGTTGAAGGTCAATTTTTTTAATTTCTGTCGACGACAGCTGAAGAAAATTAGAAATCATATTGAGGAAACTAACACGTTGGTTGGAGAAAACGGTCACTTACCAGCTCGATAGTTGAGTGTAGTTATATCCACGGCTAGATCCCCAGGAGGGTGAAAAAGACTCTGACAAAAAAAAACACCAAGACCATTTCTAATAAAAACCAAACCACTCTATAATTCCGCAATTCTGCGTATAAAACTATTTCACAAATTCGGGTAGTGGGCCGCGGAATTCCTTCACCAAGCACCGAAAATAGCACCTTCAGCTCTCTTATTTACGGTCGACAGGAATTATAAAAAATGACCAACGAGATGGAGAGTAGAGTACGATTTTCTACCACAAAATTATTAGACCAGAAGTGTTTTATTACTAAAATTAAATTCAATACTTTTCAAAACGGTTATAAAATTATTAATCTAAATAATGAAAACGTTGAAATATTTTACTTTATCAAGATGTATCAAGAGCTAGAGTCTGCTTACATTTTTGGCTTCGTTACCGTAATGCCATAGATATAGTATGGTATTTTTACGATACAGGTCTAAAATAATATTAACTAGCTAATATGTATAAAACGTACTTTTTGATAAAGGGCAACAAAGCAGAAAAGCACTTAGTTCCAAATAATTGTTATGCGCGCAGCGAATTGAAAGTAGTTGGCGCGTTGCATGCAGGTACAGTAAAAATTTAATATACATTGACTAGGCTATAAGAAATTCAAGTACTTCAAGCCAATAACTTTAGTTCTAAGCAGACGAGGTTGGTTAACGTCTTTATTATGAACTGTGAATGGAACTTATAAAAAACAGTCTTTTTGGGGTAGTAGTTTCACAGTTATCATAGCAAGGCCCAAGTAGATTTTTGGAAACTACTATTCTAGTCCACCTTATTTCTTCGAGCATCTTCCAAAAAATATAAACAAACACAATAGCCGTTCCGTAGACTATAATGGCCGTTAAAATATCCAGATATGTCGGATCAAACCCAGTTCTTGGAAAATGCCATGTGATTGCCAAAGGATGAGTAATAAACAAGAAAGAGCCCTGATCGTAACTAAATTTTTTTTGATGATTGCATGTATGAACTTGTTTCATTAGTTTCAGTGTTATTATTTTTGTCCAAAATTCATCAATTCTCGAATACTTAACTGACGATTTTTAAAATCGCCCATGGTCGTAGTACTTACTGCTTCGAAATTGAAAATGAATTTTGCACCAAACTTGGGACAATCAAATATATCAAAATAAAAAGGAATATATGTAGGCAAGCTTGTCCTAAAATATTTGAATGTAAACACATAGTTGCGACAGCTTAAAATTTGAGTTATTTCCGAGGCTGAAAAACCTCTCAACATCCATGGAATAACTAAAAATCTTGATAAAAACAGTAAACGCTGGCCGGAACTTTTTGTAAAGGATCACTCTGAAGATGTTTCCTAGACCGAAGCTATATAGAAAGTATAGGCACAACACTGAGATATCTCAAAAAAAAATCAATTAAAAGCTTATCATACTTCATTCTATTCTTATACCAACCAGCATAAATTGACCAACAAACTCTCTACACATATTTACTGGATAGCTGCTTGGCCAGTTCCGTATACTTGAGAAACTTTGAGTGAGGACTTTCCTCGAACCCGGCCGGGGCCTGATTGGGGGCCGGAGGACTTTTGGACACCGGGACCACCACAGGCGCCGTGCTTTTCAGGGGCACCCCGCTAGAGGGCACTGGCGTCGAACCGGAGGGTTGTGAGGACGTTGAGGAAGAGGTGGACTTCAAAGCCACCGGGTCTGGAATCACGCCGTCTTTCACGAAGTGCATCTTGCTCAGGTGGTGCCTGGAACAAAGATACAGCTTTCAGTTTGTTGTACAAAAGTAGGATGTTAGGATTTTTCTTTAGACAGGCTGCGGTGCTGGTAAAAATAAGGAAATTTTCCAAGTAACACATAGATCAACAAAGACTTTAGAGAATAGGATTATCATGTTCCGCAAGAAGCTGCGATATTGAATCCGGCCTTGCTTTCAGCAACCCCTATGAGTAAATATCTACTATATATAAATCGGATTGACCAAGCCAAAAATGGACGTTACCACCCCGCGCTGTGGATGTACAACAACAACAATTATTTCGTGCAATAGCTGGATAAATCCCTGTCTGTCTGTCCGTTAATCCTTGGCCCGTCCAACACTGGGAAAGTGCTACGCACAGGTCAAAAAAGCTTTGTATTTTTTGAAAACCGGTTCAGTGGCGGTTCAGGACTACAAATGGAAAAATATAAATCACTGAATCTTCGTTTTCTACGTTTCAGAGGCTTCTGATCACTTTCAGGAAACTTTTTGGAAGGGGCCAAAGTTGCGGGTGGGGAGCGGATATCTCAATTTTTTGGCGTTAGTATAGACAGTAGCGGACAAAAGTTTGGAAACAAATATTAACATTATTATTTCATACACCTAAATTAAAATTGTGAAGGAACAAATAATATGAATATTAAAGTCTACCTTTGGCTCCCGTACTTTTCAAATTATCTGAAAATAAAAACACGTGTTTTTTTTAAATTCCGCAGTTTTTGTCACGACAAAGGTATGGAAACATTTCAGTTTTATCGTATTTATTCCTTCTGCAATACCTTGATATTGCTTGCGGTAAATATTAACATCAGTGAAAATGGCAAAAGTAAAAGAATTTTCAAAAGACTCAATAGGCAATGTAATTGAATTATCTAGAAGTGGTGTCAGTTGACATTTCTCAAAGATTAAAAATGAACAAAGGGACGATTTCGAAAATTATTAGTAAATATCAAGGACACGGATCAACAGCAACGCGGGCCCAGGAGCGGAAGACCGAAAAAAAAACGATTATGTTTTGAATCGCTACATGAAACGTTCGTTCCATGAAGATCCTCGAATGCCAGCCACACAGATTTTCAAAAGAATCGTAGAAGACGGTGCCGAGAACCTTTCTGTCAGAACAGTGCAGAGACGCTTGGTGGATTTTGGGCTTTTTGGTAGGCGTCCAGTGCAAAAGCCTCTCATTTTAAAAAATCGCATTGCTCGGCTTGTATTTGCTAAAACTCATCTAACTTGGGCAGAACAACAGTAGAATACAGTTTTGTGGAGCGATGAAAGCAAATTTAACTTGTCTGGATCTGACGGTGCGGCAATGTGAGACGTCCAATGCAAAAAAGATTCGACAAAAAGTATCAGTTGCCAACTGTTAAGCACGGTGGAGGCAACATCATGGCTTGGAGCTGTTTTTCTAGTCCTGGAACGGGTCCAATTGTTGGGGAAATGGATCAAAAACTTTACAAAGATATTCTTAGTAAACACATGCTCCCTTTTGCTGAAGAAGAAATGGCTTTACGATGGAAATCCCAGCAAAATACTGACTCCAAGCATACCTCAAAATTCGTAAAGGACTGGTTAAGAAAATGTTAATGTTCTTAGATGGCCTCCGCAATCGCCGGACCTAAGCCCTATAGAACATCGCTGGGAGCATGTTAAAAGACAAGAAAAATTTAAAAAAATAGGAACGAGTTATTTGATTATGTAAAAATATTTGGCAAAATATCCCAACAGGCGTCTGTAAAAAATTGGTGTCTTCTATGAGCAAGACAGTGTTGAATGCTAAAGGCTATGCTACCAAATATTAGCTAAATAGTATTTTTTAAATCTTTTTGTAGAGCTATTGTATTTAATTTTATAACAAAAAATATGTTTCTATACTTTTGTCGTCTCATGTTTGGTCAAAAAATAATATAACTTAATGTTAGTCTGTAGTACCACAGCAAACACAAATTGTCATTTGTATCCTCAAGACTGTAAGCAAACTATATGAGAAAACAAAAACAGTCCTTAATAATGAAGAATAAAAAATAGCGCACGTTTTAAAAGTTTCTAAGAATGTTTCCAAATTTTTGTCCGCTACTGTACGTGCGCTTTCAGACTCTGTAATTCTATGCACCCATTAGACATGGATTCCCCCACGCATGTCCTTAAATCTCTTAGAATGATACAGATAAATAAAAATTATCAGCACACGCATAGATCGCAACGAAATGTTCTGTGTCGGGGGTTGGACATAGGCTGGCGAGGTTCAATCATAGCAGGGTAGAAAAAATGTATACATCGCAAGGTTATCAAATGGGTGGGGATTGGTGACAAACTGTATGGGCCTGTTCGACTGACATGATACATTTCATTTTTGTGTTATACATGTTCGTGACCAACATTTTTCTCAGAAGACGTAATCCCTAATAAACTGATGACAGCGCGAAAGTCCCAATTTTCATAAAACCTAGAACGCTAATATTAGAAGCTCTGTCAACCAATATTTAAAAATTAAATTTCCGATCCAACAGTAGAAGCGAATTCTTTTACTGTCCATATAAATGATACGTAATACGTTCAAAATCCGTGAGTGCTTAAGCAAAGTAACAGCTTTGCATTTAAAAAAAAAATACCAGATGCTCCTGAAGATTAATTTTAGGGACCAGTTTTTTTTTAATTTCCCATGCCAAAAGGTTTGGGCAGACAACATATATCGACGGGAATAAATATGAAAAAGTTTTTGGTCATGTCGACTCAAAGGACATAGTATCTCGATTTCTAAATTTCCAGCGGTTACATAGAAAATGAAATAGAGCCTGTTTTTTTATCATCCACGGTCTTTCACGCTTGGAATTAAAATTCTAATACAAAATTTCCGAATAAAGCCATATTATTAGTCAGAAGAAAAATAGTTTCCAGTTTACCTGTATGCCCCTTTCGAGATGAACGGCGTATCACAGAAGGCGCACTTCATGATCGAGTCCGACGTGACCACAGCATCGTTGCAGGCCCAACTGAAGGCCAATATGGCCCCAGGTGTTGGCCCACCACCTGCATTTGTAGTACTAGGATTCACAGCAGCTGCCGCAGTGGCCGGTACGGCCCTGTTGTTTGTGTGCGTCTCAGTCTTGTCACAGAGCTTCTGCAGAGCAGCCAAGGGATGACTGGAGCCTTTTTTGCCTCCACTTTGTCCTCCAGCCTCGGCGGCAGCAGTCTGGTTGCCGGAGAGACTGTCGAACATGGAGCTGAGGGCCCCAAGACTTCCCCCAGCCGATTTTCGGTCGCCATTGCTGCTTCTTGGAGTACCCGACCTATCACTACTTGCTGGACTACTGGTGGAGTTCCTGCAAGGACTGGTGGGTTGTGCACCGCTTGGACTTGCCAGAGGAGTCCTTTTTCTACTTTCCTCCTCTTCTTTCACCTCCCCGTTGCTTTGAAAGCTCCCGTGTTCATGTTCGTCGTCTTCGTTATCCTCTACTTCTTTCTTAACTTTAACTTCAGTCGGTGGGGCAGTACTACTTTCTTCTTCATCTACCTCTTTCTTAACAACTACATCCGTCTCGGATTCATTGGCACTGTTTATTTTTTCGGGAAAGGGGGATTTTTCCCTTTTTATATCAGGGGTGGACCGAGGGGTTGAACTGCTGACAGGCACGCCTGGGGGTTCCATCTTCTTTTCGGGTGTCAACGAGTCCACTCTACTGCTTCCTGAAATAAAACAGAAATATTGTAGTTCAAGAGTGATGCAAGAAAGCGTCTTTTCGAATATCATCACAATTCCAAATACTCCAGGTCCGAATTTTAACGGTATGTTTTCAAGAAATATTCTGTATAGATCAGGATAAATATAAGGATTATGAAACTATAAAATCTCTTTTAGAATCCAGATACCCAATGTCGTGTATATTTGTTTTATAGTTTGGCAAATACCTATTTTATTAAAAACAGAGTCTGATGATTTTTTCAATCGTATTTAACCACTTCTGGTGACACTTTGTGCTAAAAGCGTCTGCCAACCTCGACAATTCATAAATAAAACATTTAAATTAATTCCTCATTTCTTGATACTCTGATTTCCACTACGATCGCATGCAATCTATCATATACTACGGTATACATAAATATAATCATGTAGAATTTAACATTCGTAGTTTAAACCGGTATCATAAAATGACCATGCTATATGTGGCTCGCTAGAGTGAAGCTGCAATAAAAAAATGTAAGACACAATAGCTTTGGCGTTAACTATATCTTTATGCAAGGACAAATAAAGGCAAAAATCGAGAAAAGACTATCTCTACGAGGCAGAAAACCGTCGATTGAAAACTAAGTACAAATGAATATTCTGGTTCAAACTGCGCGAAGAGCACAGAAATTAAGCTACTTTGACTACTGCAGATTAATACAAAGAAGTATGTTCCACGTCGCTGATTTTTCGTTTGCAAATTTGACAAATTATAAGTCTTAGTAGAAAAAAAGCTTGTAAAAACAATTTAAAAATGCTAACCTCGTTCCGACATCGAGCTGGACTCGCTTCCGCTCCTCTCCCGCCTAGGATAATGACCTTGATGCTGATGATAACTTCTCAACAGATTCATCGTCTGTGCGTCTACCAAGGGTTTTGTGTAGTCCACACTCTCATCTATGCCCAGCCTTTTCAAGATGCTGCTTCCCATGGGAGCCTGCGCCGGTCCATGGCCAGGGAAACCAGGATTTTGCCTCGACCTCGAGTCAAAACTCTTCTCTATCAGCTTCTCTATAGCGTTTAAAACCGAAGGTGACGAACCGTTGTTGTTTTCTGGAGTTCCTCCTTCTTTCCCAGTAGATTCGGTTACTGAAGGCGATCTTTGTTGGGGTGATGGTGACTTATCGGAAGGGGTTTTCATCTTATCTCTATTCGGACTCTCGGGAGGTAAGATATTGTTTGACATTAACGCACTTTTTAGAAAGTTCCGAGGGTTGCCAGTCATACCTCCAACGCATTGCCTGATATGGTCGACAAACATAGCGGTTTCGATTTTATTCCCGCATTTTTCACAAGTTATCCTCCCGGCACTTGCAGCATCTCGCATTTTATCCAATATACTACTATCTCCATTCTTGAACTCCTGTTGAGCTCGCTCCAATTCCAAAAGCTTCCTCACAGGTAACGACTTCTTACGTTTTTCCCTTGTCTGCCTCCGTCGACCTCCACTCTCCGTTATCGACCTCATTATGTGCTCTTTATAATGCGAATTCTTCACCATGTGGTTGCTCAGCTCTTTGAGTGAACTAAATGCTTGGTCGCATACTTTGCACGTCAATACCGCACTTACGTGACTACTCGTACCTCCTGGAGGAGGATTTGGCCCAGAAGGTCCACTACTTCCTCCTTTCGAATCCTCCGAAGACCTCCAAGAGATGATCTGCTCCTGTGAGATGATGTTGGTGTAATGCTGAGTCTGTTGCATATGGCTGGTCATTTCAGCCAAAGATCGGAAGCTTTGTCCACACCACATGCATTTAAGGATCTGCCTGGTTTGCTCAGCTCCCTTGCCCAACCAAACGTCTTGACCTCGTACAAGTTTCCTTGGTAGAGGCATCGTTTCTTTGATAAGCATATTGAGGTCATTTGGAGGCTTGTTCGAGTTAGTAGAAGAGCTGCTGGTATTAGTATTGGAAGGAGACGTGATCTGAGGTTGCGGTATCAAATTGCCAGACTGCATAGAAGGGACGGGAACACTGACACCACAATGTTTGGCTTCTTTCATATGCGTGGTCATAGCTGCTAAGCTGGGGAAGCTTTGCTTGCACCAAACGCACTTCAGGACATCTTTGGCCTGCTCTGCTCCTTTATTCAACCAGTGCGACTGCCAGGCGCTATGCCTATTACCCGTCGAGCTACCCGGTGGTGCACTAGCCATTCTGAAGATGTCATCGCCTCCAAGTTTACTCAGCTCGCTCATCTTTTCTAGCGCTTTGGTGGCATCACTTGGTGTTGGAGTAGGTTGCTTCAGCTTGCCATTCCAGAGGTCAGGCGTGTTATTTTTAGGCGAAAGGCCTGCGGCTGCTACAGCTGCGGCAAAGTAAGATGGCAACGGCGAGCTTCCAAGAGCAGGAGGCCATTGTGGAAGAGCTGGTTTAAAATCGGTCGTTCTAGGCCTCCTCTGGGGTGGCTGAGGTAGAGGTTCCTCTGAAGTACGTTTGCGATTGCTCACCGACAGGTCTAAAGGAGCTCCTGATTCGCCAGCAGGTGGCGTGTCAGGTTTGCTCAGGTTCACTGCATCCGAGTCTGAGTCTACTGGTGCCTCAACCTGAAACAACACGAACATGGAGTCAAGTAGATTGGCTCAGTACCTCAAACGTTCGCGTAGTATTTGTAAGGAGTTTGTTAATAAAAAACATTGAAATGAAGTGTATCAGTATTATCAGGCAACCTTCTTTGCATTTGTAAAACGAATAAATATTTTACTACTCGATCGTATGATGGAACAGATTCTTCAAGCAATACAATGATCTACATGACTCAGTATTTCTCACGCATTTGTGGTTTCATTCCAACTATTAACATAACTAGGATTTTTATATTGGTGATTCACGAATAACAAAATCAACTAACCTTTGTCCTCTTGCTGAAGTCAAGAATCCCTTCCGCAGGCTGTGGCGGGGATGCCATGGGCGGCGAATAAGCCGGGGGCGGGCCAGGTGCGGGTGACGTCATCATAAGCCTATGGGCGGCAGCGGCTGCGTTCAGGTACGCCGCCATCGCAGCTGATTGGGGCGGCAACAGAGCAGCAGGAGGCAATGGCACACCTACAGGGCTTAGCGCCGCCCCCAGTGGGATGGTGCGTAGAAGGGCGGCGGCCGCCCTCTGGTGGTGATCGACGGCGGCTATGCTGCTGCCCACTGAGTCGCCGGAAGGGCAGCGAGGAGGGTGGGCAGCCAAGGGCGGTGCAGAGTCGCTTGAACCGCGGGAGGTGCAGCGGGAGGGCGGACGTCTGGAAGAAATGCGATTTTTTAGCACCAATCGAACCTGTATATAGCTACCGATTCATGGTTGCTCTATCATGCCGAAGGGCAATGGGCCCTTTGTCGCTTTTCTGTATCTCGCGGCTGGCGAAGAATCTTGTTTCACTTATTAGGGTTATTCAAGGTACAATATATAGCCACAAAAAAATCTTTTTTCTTACCGGTGAACGTTCATATCTTCGTGTGGTGATCTGGGACTGCCAGGACTAAGGATGTCCCCAGGCGTGGGTGACGAAGCCTCCTCCTCATTAGGCTCCAACGAAGCAGCCGAAGTAGGTGTCATCGAGCCTGCTTCTTCTTCACCCTCAAGCTTCTCGCCTTCTTCTGGAGAGCCTTCCTCACCACCTTCCCCTGAAACAACAGAAAGAAATATTACTTTAACATTTACGTACAGATACTATCAGGGTGATAGACAAAACCGTAAGTTTGTATCTTTAGAATGCTCCAAGCTGTTGCCACTGTCGAGAGCAAATGCTCGCAATTGTGAACGATAGTCGGAGATTGTTGACATTGGTGATGAATGACTCAAAAAACAGACTAGCACAGTACGAGTATATATCCTTACACGACAGCGAAATCATTCTCGTTGATATTTGCCAGCACATTCTGAGCACACCGAGAACCAGTATAATGAGAGGTTTCGACGCGTGACCTTCAGCCAGAGGCAGTGTTTAATAACATTCATATTCAAATATATCATTATATTGTGATTCAACCAGGATCTGTTGTTTCGAGTCATAGAAAGGGCCCTAAAAATCATTTCTCCAGAAAGTTTGCGAGGTCCAGTACTTCTCTAGTTCGGTGACAAAAAAATTAAAAGTAAACAAGCTTAGTCTTTCCATGATTTTCGAGTTGCTTATCGTTTTTGGGAGTGGAGAAAAAAAGCTTATTGAGGACAACATCTAGAAAACCCTTAAATATTGTTTCTATTGTCTGGTCAATTCGGCTCACAGCAAAAAGGAAAGTTGGTCGCTCGATGATTTTAAAATCAGGTAAGGCTCTTATAGTTGAAGATAACGCTTATAATTTCTGTTCCTGTTCTCGAGCCCTATTAAGAAAATTTCAGTGTATAGATTTTTGAAAAGTTCTCCGATTCACTTAAGAGTCAGTAATGCGAAGAGTGTCAACTGACAACCGTTTGCTATTGATGGTTTGAAAAACTCTTCTTGTCTGAAAGAAAAGTTATCGTTAATAACTACACCGCATAACTAAAAAAAATAAGATATGCATGTACTTGAAAAGGCCACCGTGATGGCTGCAACGTCATCAGCAAACAGCATTTCACGCATATGTGGTTTTAATTAGCGGCTAGACAAATATGGAGGATTATAAGACACTTCAGTCGATAGGGAATCCAAAGAGGCACCGTTGTTTTTGCTCCCCGGAAAAGTTGTCAGTTTTGTGTAACGAGGAGTTAGAACTTAAGCGGCGATTTATACTCGCAAAAAGTCCCTGCTATTATTAGTTGCGAAAACGGAGATGTTTGGGACTATATACCTAAATAAATAATCAGACATAAAATGTACCACAGCACTGACTTATGCATTTTGGTGGAAATGGTTATACTTAACATTCACAAAGTACATATCACTTGATAATTACCTAGTAAGTACAATTACGTTTTAATCTGAACCTAAGGACTGGCGTGACGTGACATGTTATACGTAAAACTCGATTTTATGTTAGTCGGTTGAAAAATACATGCAGGGTTATGTTTATTCTCTGATACAATAGTCGAATCATATTAGACGAAAATACCCTTGGTTTGCGAAATAATTGTAAAGTCTGGTTTTATTGCTCCAAGTTGTTCAAGACATGGTCGCATAAAATGGGTACACCAATTTTTGTGGCAAAACTTTTTATTCGACAACAAAGAATGGCAGGAACCAAAAAATCTCTTTATATAAGATTTTTAGGTATTTATAAGACCTACAAAATGAGTCCGCATGTAAAAAGATCCGACTAATAGCAAAAAAGTTATGGCCGAAAACCGAGGCAAGCTGCAGGTTTTGGTACTTGTTGGTAATGCGACGACGGTTTCTCGCAGATACTTGAAATTCTTCGAATTCCTAGGACTCGTACTTTTAAATAACCACAACAAAATTGGAGTAGATTGGTCAAGTAGTTTTTGAGAATTTCTAATGGTTTCTTCCAAAACACCTGTTTTCCGGCCATAATTACAAGTTTATTGAGCAATATACAGGGTTAGTTTAAAGGGCATTTTATAGCAAAATACACTAGTTTACCTTGCCGATATGAAACGCAAGCCGTTCCGGAAGATAAATGTTATTTTTATGCAAAAAAGAATGGGTTACGTTCTTTCTTCTAAACAAATTTAAATATTTCGTACTTGTGAGTAATTCGTAATAAAAATGATAGACACATACGCTTTGTTTTAAAATGAGTATAGTAACGTATGTTTTTCTAATATCGTAGCGAATCTGTTCAGTTACCCACAAATACGAAATGTTTGAATTTGTTTAGAAGAAAAAAACGTAACCTTCGTTTTTTTTTATAAAAATAACATTAGCTTTCGTAATGGTTTGTGATTTATATCGGCAAGGCAAGCACTTGTATATTGCTATTAAATGCTCTTTGACCGATCCCTGTATATTGTTCAATAAACTAGTAGTGATGGCCGGAAAGCAGGGGTCTTGGGATAAACAATTAGAAATTCTCAAAAAACTACTTGACCAATATACTCCAAATTTGTTGCTATTATTTAGAAGTATGAATCTACGGATTTGAAGAATTTCAAGTAGTTGCGTGAAATTATCGTCGCATCACCAACAAGTGTCAAAACCTGTATTTTGTCTCGTTTTTCGGCCATAACATTTTTGCTATTAGTCGGATCTTTTCACGTGTGGTCTCATTCTGTAGGTCTCATAAATACCTAAAAATCTTGTATGTAAAGTTTTTTTGTTCCTGTCAACACTTTCGATTGAATCCCAAATAACACGTTTTTGTTGTCAAATAAAAAGTTTTCCCACAAAAACTGGTGTACCCATTTTATGCGTCCATATTTTAAATGCACCCTGGAACAACTTACACTGACGAAACCAGACTTTACAATTATGTCGGGGAAGTTTGCTAATATGATTAGACTACAAGTATAACTACTCACTGATATATTCAAAATGAATCTAATGGGTGAATGTATAGTTTGGTTCAGATTTTTGGTACTATCGAACAGTTGGTTGCTAGACTCTGATTCAGACTGGTTCATGATGAAGAGAAAGCGAAACGCCAAAAGTTATATGGATCGTTGTGACAGACCTCGACAAACTGATGATCAAAATTTCATCCTTTCTAGCTGATAATTTTCTGGTGTTCAATTTATACAAATATTTCAATCGAAACAAATGACTACATACGTCCGTTACTATAATTCATTGTGAAATATTTTTATTGCAATCATTTGAATAATTTAGCCATAATTCAGGGTATTTGTACCATAAAGCTCGTCATTCTTATAATGGAGACCATCGCATAGAATTATGATAATTTTTTCCGTGTGTGACGAGTTCGAAATGTGAAAATGTAAACAAAAGTTGCATAACTCAATGTTAAATACGAAATAATTTTCCCACTAAAAATGCATAAATTGCGGTTCACTTCCACATAGCTTTTAATCAATATGCGATGAAATATCGTTATTTATTTTATATGCCATTGCCTGCTTTGAATTTTAAATTATTGTAATGAGGTATTATTTTAGATCTTTACACAACGTAATCAGGTAATTCTGATCAAACATAATTTAGAAAGATATATCAAATTACCACTTTATAGCATTTATCAAGAATAAAAACATAAGGATGGGAAATATTTATTGATAGGAGAACAACTTTAAATGCCAAAAGCAGTTTCTTCTACGATACTCATGCAGAAGTAGAAGATTTTTGAACAAGAAGCAAGCGCTTGTGATACGACATTTGAAAGTCTTCTATCTTTAGCTACATCGCATTTGAAGCTGCATGAAGCATATTTTTAGTCCTTTTAACGTATTTTGTGTTGAATTTAGGGATCAACTTGTTAGATAACGTGACATAGTTTCTGAATCTAAAATTGATCTAGACTTTCTGTTAATACGCACGACTGCATGTTAAGTCGCGGAAAATTTCGAAAATGTTTTGTTTTTCGGATGTCGCTAGTAGTCTCGCACCGAAGGAGAGTCCCTGGCGCGGTTCCCAACAGATGTCGCTAGTAGTATCACTCATTCTTGTTACAATCATAATAATACAAGAGCGTCCTTAATAATGAATGGAAAATAAAACTGTCCATTTTTCACCTCGAAATGTTTTTAGGAAGGAACGCAATCAGACGGTCTAGTCGCAAAACCACGCAAAACATTTAGGTACACAGACCAAAACAACTAGAAATTGAAAAGTCTGGTATAGCATTAGTGATAATACCTGATACCTGTTATTACAGATAGTCGTGCGAACAAGGGTTCTACGCGCGTACATTGCTACTGACAGCTTAGTAATAGATGGGCCCACTGATAGCAAAAACTATATTTATTAAATTTTGATGGTACGTGATATTTTCACTAGGCCATCGAATCCCTTCAGGCTCACCTTCAGGAAAGATTGCTGTTCATTCTTCTAGTGAGAGAACAACAAGCTTTCGTGACAGAAGTAATGCTCGTCTATTGGCTGCAAATAGGACCTTTCCTATGGCTAAAACACCTAACGTTACATCATAATATCTCCCATAAACAGTTGACACATCTGACTGCAACTTTAAACCAGAAACAGGGACTTATGTCACTTTTCCATTCTATCGTATGGCAGTGTGAATATATATTTCACGATCAACTGCTTTACATTATGCATAGCCTACACGACCGATGGCAAGCAAGGCATTGCACGCCGTACAGTGCCGCGATTGCCGATTTATGCGACAGCAGAGGTGTTAAATGGTATTCCGAACGATATGAATTACATTGGCAGACTCACGAGACATTATTCTTTAGAACTGAGATGTATATGCACGTGATGCCTTGCTTTCGTATAAGGGGTGTCTCGGATTACTTGAAATAATCATAACTAATAGTAGAAATCGCCTTCTTTTTGTTTCTTCTACCCAAGCAGTTACGGAGACAAAATCTATGTATCGAATAACCACAGCTGCTAAAAGGTAGTAGACACGAGCTTGTCTTAAGGTTCATTTCCATTTGCAACAAATTTGTTTTTCCACATGTTCATACGAGTACCTATACTTGTAAGGTACCTTAGCCTAGAAGCTGCCGGTATTATAGAAAAAGTTAAACAGAATAAAAATGGCGTCAAGTAGGTTGACTCTGCACTTTCACGCCATTGTCATCAATTATGCTTCATTTATTACATGACTTAACGCCATTTGAACTATGAGTCAAAAGTGTATGTGAGATACAAGAGTCGCATTACTTTACTCAAAGTTTATTCAAGTGACTCGGCTGAAACCGAAATATGGCTAGTTATTCACCTAAGATATGTGCACAAATTTTTGAACAAGTAAGACATTCATTAATAAAAATTTATACAAAAAAAACAAACGCAATGGAATT